CATCCCCTGGTGCCAAGTCTTAGATTTGCAGCTGCCACAGAACTCTAAAATGCTACAGTAATGTAATATCCCAAAAGGGTAAAGATTACTTCAACCGTAGACTCCTTAAGCTAGAACAATCTGGCAGTATTGTGCCCTGCAGTAAATCCTTTGTTATAAAGATAATATGCCATAATTTGTTTGGCACACATTCGAGTCAAGTGAGGTATTTGCTTCACGGCATCCAAGGGTAAACAACTGTCGCAACGTTGAGGCGCTTGAAATAATGCAAGGTGAGACAAAAAATAAGCTATATTCAAACAGTGTCAAGTCTACTGTCCAATTAATGTATGGCAAATAAGCTTCGAAATCTAATGAAGAACAACAAACAGGACTTAGAATATCAAGGTGTATCACATGCAAACCAGCAATATTTGAATGGTAATGTGTGAACGGATTAAACATGCAAATGTAATACGAAAACCTGACACGTTCTAAACAGGAAGGACCTGTCATAGAAAACAATGTTACAGAGTAAACACCGTAAAGGATGATCCAATTCTAACTCACCCAACATCGTTTTACGACCGCTGTTGTTCACATGAGTAGCTAAACCAAAATCTCCAACTTTGACATTCAAGTACTCTTCATCCGAAGCCCCGTAGAGAAAACAGTTGTCTGCCTTTAAATCACGATGCAAAATCGGCGGCTGAATTTTGTGATGCATGTAACGTAACGCATCCAAGATTTGATGCCACCAACGGGTAATGAGGGGAAACTTTAGGATGCACTGACCCTCGAGAAAATTCTTTCGAATGACACTGAAATAAATGATAGTAAGATTTAGCAATAGAGATTACCTTTTTAGGGTTCCCTCGCCCATTAGCTCCTGGATAATAACGACTCCTTTTTCTTCGATCTGATTGTTTGGATCTTCCATATCGATCCATTCACGAAAGACGTCAAAACAACGAACGATATGCGGGTGGTTCATCTTCAACATTATTTCCGTTTCTTTGAACATGGCTTGTCGCTTCTCCTTGGTATCCACATGTTCACGCTGAAATTATCAGAAACAATATTCAAATAGTTGAGTGGTGGCTTACCTTGAATTCACACCAGGCAACGTTTTTTGCTTCCATTGTATCGTAGCCACGGTAAACAAATTTATAACCACCCTCGCCAATCTAATCGAACTAATGAACTGGTATGCGAGTTCTACCTTCAGATTATGTTTGATCCAACGTCCACATTTCGATTTCGCTGAAACTTTCTGTTTTGCCTCCTGTTCCGCCTGATATTTCTTCAACATCTCCTCCTCCTTCTTCTTTTCACGCTCTTTCTTTCTCTCTTCGCGTGTTTTTTTGCGATCAATGACAGTAGCAGCTGCTGTCTGAGGGTCTGAAGATGGCCCAGAGGTGGAGGGAGGTACAACCGAGGCCGCTCGGTCAAACGCCCCCGGCTGGGACAGTGAGTCCTCTTCATCCGACTCAATTTCGTTTGCTGGCTTTGGATCCAAAATCTTTACTTTCTTTGATGATATTTTGGAAGTGCTGTCTTGTCGAAGGGCTGGTCGATTGGATTGATCCCCGTTGAGCGCAGCACCTTCCGTGGTAGCGTCACACGCTGGTGCAGGATCACTAGTAGCGGCTGGTGTCTCATCTTTTGAAACTGTCGCTTTCTGTGGATTCGCACTCATTTATGCCTAAAACAGTGGAAATAAGAATAGTTTGGGCCAGGCCTTTAAAACTGCTAAGGGACTTAGACAAACTGTGCTGGTTAAAAAAGCAACGACAAAGCGCAGCTCTTAGGGTTCAGTTGCACATCCGTATGTTCAATCCTCGGGGTTTAACATGAGTAGCTTTGAAACAAATTATGACTATTCTTTGTCCATTGGAGACTAATAACGGAAATGGAGTCCGGATTCGCGAGTATTTCATTCGAACCCGTTGAGACAGGAGATTGTCCTCTTTCACTCTGCATAATGTACGGTCTAGATGAATTATGAGACGGATTTATTTTCCTCTAAGGCTAACAAAAATGAACTTCATTTGGGTGGTAATCAATTTAATTTATCGAATGTGGATAGCAGACCGCTAACAAGGGACATGCTCTATTAGATAGTTGGAACAGTAACATAAATAACTTTTACATAGTACATTCCATGCTAAACACGATGTTGCAGTATGGGTCAATGTCGTTTTAGCCTCCTTTGGTATTATTGCCTTTGCCATTCCGTGTCTCGGTTTTCGTTGATATGTTTGGATACCAGTATTTTTTTATTACACTTATGCAATGAATAGCAATAGGTATCACATCATCACCATCGTAACCGTTATGAAATCACTTTTGTGTACATTTAATATGTATTTCCTTCTTTGAAACTTCAGCCTCCATACAGTCGCTGTTGAACGAAAAAAGCCTAGATGATATTACTGATTTCGAACGCTCGATACCGTCACGCACGTAACAGATCCCTTCCCTATAATTGACGAGTCTTCGTCGTTTTTTTCGCTCTTTGGAATAGCCACCTACACCTTGATCGTGATACTAAATTCATCTGTACGGCATTCGCCAGGTTTCTGTTTATTAAATGAGTTGTTAAAGTAGACGCACATGACGGAATATAATCCAAAGGACAACAGCCAAGTTAAAGACTTCAAAGACACTCTAATAGAAGGTCGTATACCTTGCTCTCAGAAGTGGGAATCTTTCGATCATTTATTGAAAGAGAATAACGCCAGATATCCATCTTCCACTCACTAAAATTCCTTTTGTACACAACCAGAAATTGTACTGTGCACAAACGGCTGACCAATTGCATCCGCCACTCTATCAACGGTGCTTCATTGCCCACATGGCAAACGGCTCCTAGTTGTCTTCCCGAAACAGTGTGAAGGAGCTTCAAAACTCAACTTACTGTTGAAGTGTAATTCTCAGTGCGGCCACACTGTATATACCGGTGGGAGGACGGAGGTAGCGTTTGATTTCTATTAGCGAACAATTATGGACAGAATAAACCACAACCCAACGCATTCAACTGTAGAACCTGCGTCTCCTGAAAACCTCCAAGGCAACAACAACATTGAGGAACTTGGGATACGACTTCACACGGCACCACTCCATTCAAATACTTTTTTAAATCCCTCCCGTCTAGCAAAGAAGCAACAACTATTCTGATCCTATTAACCTGAAACATTTTCCTCAAGCTTGATGATAACATTATGCTGAGAAATTTTCAATGGGAGCCGAGAAGAATGTAATCGTTTTATATCACTCTATGTTTATATAAACTATTATACCACTTTTGTGGTTTCCACCATAGACCGCATACACCTAGCTAGACGAGTAAAGCGCAAATCTCGCCACGTTACTTTTCTATTCAATTCGTAGTCATTACAATTAGTTGGGAGCATCCACTTTCTCCTTCGAGAGCATCGAAGCACTTTGACCATAGAAGCAAACTGAGCGAATTATATATCTCAATACATCTACGACATCATAGAACGCAATGGCAACTCTAGCGAATCTGTAAATCATGCCGAGAAACGAGACTTTCGAGTGACACCTGCTCATGCTGACAGAGTTCCATTCGTGTGTGATCGCTACACTGGCTGACCTAAAAGCAGCACAGAT